AATGCTATACAATCATGTAAAGTTTTTGAGGATACTTGAAGACGACATTGAGTTGGATGAACGAGAGAACCTTAGTCTACAAGTAATCGTCCAGGGAAAGTCTTCTACTCACTTGAAGCCTTTATGTTCTTATGGTGATAGAACTCTTTTCTTAGAACGTTTTTTCTGTGAGCAGGGAATTCCTACATTTATTGTGGCAATGGCCGCCAACTTCCATATATTGTGGAAGTATGGTTATTGTCCTGTTGTACCAAATCCCGGTTTAAATGGAGTAGTTGTAAAATACCTTAAGTTGTATTTCAAAGCATTCTGAATGTGCTTGCACAAAAATACGATGTTAACTTTTCCACGTATTCAAACTCTATAAAATTATATTATCAACATATAACCTCTCCTTTATCACTACTTATTCAAATAGGGAAATTCACTCCCACAGAACAACAGAATTGAATGAGTCAATGATTCCCATATCCATGACATGATCCTTGAACACTCCAATAGCCAAGGGCTTTATGTGAAGATACTCCTGCCTTCACCTTTTCCTTTATGGAAAAATATTTCATGTCCATCATTCGTACATGTTTATGTTACACATTTGGGCAAGAAACATAAACAACCATCATTTTGAAAATAGATTATGTAACCTTATTGTATAACAATCATATAAAAGATGAATAAAACAACCAAGATTTCAAGTCTTTGGACAAGAAAATAGTCAACTTAATTCTCTTAAAAATATATACCCTGAAAAAATCTCAAACCATTCATACATTCCTCTCTTTGGGAAAGACTATTGACATGTTACAAGTTTTAAAACCATAATTTACATAATCCAGTATGTACACAAGCTTGCACTACAAAATCTTGCTCAGAAGTTTTTCCTGAAGAAGTAAAGGTTAGTGCAAAAAATATTATCGCAAAAGACTTTATTGTTGTGATTGCAACCAGCTAAAAAAGCCAAGAAACATTAGTAACGTGAACCCCAAACCCTAATAATTATTTGGTCAAAACCATTTAAGCAATCTTTAACTCAAAATTGCCTCAAACTGAAGCAGCCCTGAGAACAAGTTCATTTAATCATGCATGTCTATGTCTCACTTTTGAGCAAGAGACATAAATTGCCTTAATTCTTTATTGTATAGCCATCACACAATAGATTAAGATAGAACACAATTCAAAGCATATAAAACAGTGCTACCATTTATGCCTTTGTCTAGTATCCATGCATAATTTTAACATTTCAATTTGATGGTAAGTAGGAGAAATCAACCAAACATCGTATGAAAAAACCAATTTCCTGCACTAATGGTAGAATCTAATTATGGATTATTTTCACATATATCAGGTTCCACCTTGCAACCTACCATCTACTTCAAAAACGGCATTACTCAGTAGAATCTATAAACTCATATCAAAACAGGAAGCAAATACTACACCCATCAAAAGGAATAAAGTTATTGAAATAAAAAGCACTTATGCTCTCATAGAAGAAGTTGTTTAACTTAATTTCACCTCCACAAAAACAAACAAGATGCACCACCCAGAAAGATCAATTAAGTCACTTTCTTTAACCAACATTAATTCTAAGTGTCCCCATTTATTAGCATCCCCTCAACAATAACTTGTATGAAAAATTAGTAGAAACATAAAGAATCACTTTGCAATATGATACATACATCGACTCAAATTGAAGCTAATAAACAAAACCACATCCAGATAAATAAAAAAAAGACATTACTTACTTCCTGAGCCTGAGTTGCAACCTTCCCAGTTCCAATGGCCTACACGAGCTCAAGGGCTAGATGACACCAACTCGCCGTGCTCGTCTTCGTCAAGTCTATCGGAAACTTTGTCGTCTCTGCCACCATGACCAAGACCAACTCCTATAAGATCTTCATGTAGGCACTGCAATTTTGGTTTTGTTTTGCCATCAACCCAAAAGGTTGAAAAATTAAATCACAATTCTATGCATACTTTCCCGAACCAAAATTTTCATAAAATCCCACTTTAGTGAAGATTTAATAAACATTTGTCCAATAGTTAAATAACATGATCATTTGTTCCAATAAGACATATTCAGCCTTAGTTGTTTTAAGTTGACACCATTCCTGGATAAGACATACCAAGAAAAACATTAATGTAAACAATTATAATAATAAATAATTATAATCACAACCAAGGAAAGAATTGGCCAGAAACCATTAAAGACGTGTCCATTAGTCCACCAAGCTGGTGCATCCGTGATATCAAAGGCAACTCAACAATCTTTCAAACCAATATCATTACCACCACTTCCATCACTGGTTAAATGAAAGAGAAAATCATAGCAATTGCATTCACTGAAGACGACAACATTTCATGTTAGCTTATTACATTAACACTTGATTGAAACTCAGTACAATACAACACATTTAAGCAAGAAGTATTTTCTACAAAAACATACAAACAATGCAATTTTACCAAATGGCTATTTAGTTTAACATTAAACAATTTCTTGGTCCAGGTGTTTGGACAAGAATTAGAGCCTGCCAAATACCATGTCCTAACTCATTAGTCGAACCATTAAAAGTATTCCCCTTTTTTGAAGACACTTAAAAGAATTAATCCAAATTATATCCTCTTGAGAAACAAGAGTAATAGAAAAGATAACAGAAAAACAGGACAAGAAATTGAAGCATCTTCCCAACCATCTTAGCATCTCCAAACATAGAGCAATGTGATGATAAATCAAGACATGAACTGATAATGAACAACACAACTTATATGCACCTCCTCACTTTTATTATTATTATTAACCATAAGAAAATCGCGATAGCATAATATTTTTTATTAGAAGATTCACAATGAACACAACCACATGGACGTAGTATTTTCATGTATGCAAACCATGAACCACAATCCAAGGAACCTGATACATCATATATGTCAGCTTTGGATCGAATCGCATGATGGAGAAATAGATGCATGTTATGATCAATGAGTCACAATTTTACACCACTAAGACAATATTTCATTGAGAACCCATTTTTTATGGAATTCTTCGAACACTTGTTCAGTATATTAATTATTTGGACTTCTGTAATTCTTGATTCCTTATCTGCAAACACTCGAGATGGTGGTGAGAGAAAAGTGATAACAAAACAAAACATGAAGCCAAGTGAAACTAACCTTGGCTCTGATACCAACTGTTAGAACTAAAAATTAAGGTGTGAACACGAAAATTCTGTATTGAATAAAACAAGAACACGTGTACAAAGTAAATTTGTATTGATTTGAAGTTGTAGATTACAATCTTTGTTTACAACTTTTCCTTTGATTCCGTCTTCAAATTTGATGTAGATGGTTGATTGTTGATCCTAGGGTCGTGATGACTTGATCTTGGACGAACGGTTGAACAATTGCTTCAAGTTTTGAGCTTGAAAACCACGTGCGGATGATCTTCACCTCAAGGGTGCGGCAAAGGTAGTGTTTGATGCAATATTTCGTTGCTTCAAGGGTCTTAGCGACTTGATCTTGAAATGAATGTTGCTACAAGTTTATAAGCTTGCAACAAAATCTTGAAGGAATCGGCACGAGCGCTTGTTGATTCTTCAAGGAAGTGCTTCGGCTTTGGTCGAGAGAAAGCTTCGACTTTGGTTGAATGTTCTTCGAAGAGAGCTTTGACAACGTATTAGTCTTCAAAGGTTTGGCAAAGATTCTTCTGTGTAGAGATTTTTCGACCCTTATGCTTGTGGGAGGACCTTGTATTTATAGGCTTCTCAAGGCTTGCCTTTGGGTGGATTTGACTTTTATTTATGTCCTAATTCATCCATATGAGAATTTAGGCATGTTTTGTGTCTTAATTTCAGCCACTTTACTCCTTTGGCCAAAATTATGAGGCCTTGTTGCCTATTTTGTGAGCAATCTTCAATTCTTGCTTGTTTTATGAAGATGCTTTAACTTTCTTTCCTGTTTTAGGATCAATTTGGACCCTTTTGCCGAATTTAAAGGAGATTTCTCCCCTTTGCCGCATTTTGGGGAAGTTTTCTACTTTTTTTGCTTGACTTGTCCATTTCTTCTTCTTCATAACCAAATTCGAGACCATTCAACACCTTTTGCGCACTTTTATGATCTTTCGACAAACTATTGTCCTTCAAAAGAATTCTCTTGAAAACCCTCAAAAAGTAATTAAAACATTGATTCAACATACGATACTCTGTTTTGCCATGCATCAACTCCACAATTGGTCGTGAGCACCAAAAAGTCTTTGCATCCAGGTATAATTTTTGGTCGGCACTTTTTAATAGTTTATCATATTGTTCTAAAGCTTCACTATCCATGATGGAGGCATGTCATCATCCCCTTCCTGGCTGGTGTTCATTGAGGGAAATGGAAAAGCATCATTTAGAATATCCATAACATGTTCGTTATGATCTACATTAGGTTCAACATTGTCCACTTTTCACTACAAGAAAACATGGCTTAGGTGGCGACAGACATTCATCACATAAACAAGAAATTTGTCACATTTGACTATATGTGACTGAATTCTAGCGTCACCAATTTCGTCACCTATATAGCGTCACCTATAGTCCATGTGATGCGTGACACAACATTCGTCACTTAATAACAATATGTGTGACGAATTATATGTCACTTAATAACAATATGTGCGACGAATTATACATCATCAAATACCAAATTATGTGACCTATTTTTTCATCTCATATCAGGTTTATAAGTGATGATTTTGTAGTCATCCAATATGATACCAGATGATATAGTTTACACTAAGTGACGCTGAAAATGTCAAATATTCCTTTGATATGTGGTGCATCTTACATCACATATGTTTAAATCAAATACCTTTTTAGAAATAATAATGACAAACTAATTATTTTTCTTGTTTCGTAATCTAGAATTGCAGTTCATAACAATTATAAGGTAATACTTCACATTTTCATTAATCAACAATTAAAACACATAAGTTGAATACATTCACCAAATGTACATCCCAAAAGTTAAAGTCATGGTGACTTATCTCAAAAGAGAAGTTTAAAAGAGCTTGAGATGCCTAACAAAAGATAGCTTGAGGTGCCTAACAAATGATAGCTTGAGGTACCAACAAAAGAGAAGTCTAAGCTAGAATAATGAAGTGTAGTAACACCTATATATAGACATCTTGGGTACTAAAAAATGACAAGTCCAAGGCACATTCAGGTGCTAATTAACAAAATAGGTGTTCCATGTGCTAACAAAAGAGGTGTACCATGTGCATACTTGAAACTAACCGCAAAAGACACAATATGGACATCATTCCTCTTCCAAATCATGTTCTTCCAGCTCAGGATAAGTATTTTCACCCTCTGAAATATCACCATCAGATTTTGTAGAGTTGTTGGTCTTCTCTTGACTTGCAGCAATAAATGCCTTGAATTTTGTGAATAGATTTTCATCATCATTACGTAAATCCAATCGAGCTCTCAATTGTGCATTCTCTTGTTGCAATTTTAGGAAACCATCTGATAGAAGCTTGATCTGAGATCTTATATCAGTTAACTCGGAACTTGATGCCATAGAAGAAATGCAACCAGAGGTACGAGGAAAAACACCTACACCATTAACTAATTTTCCCTTCCTCCCAAGGTTTTCAACCATGATTCCAAACTCATCATCCAATGGCACATGTATGGAGTCTGATGGTGTACCTTCAGGTGCTTCTTGGATCAGCTTCTCCCTCATTTCATCCTTCATTTTCTTCATGTTATCCTTTCATAATTAAATAGAAACAATTTAGTTTCTTTCATTCCAAACATTTTAGCTATAATATGCTTAAGAAAACACAACTTGACCACTTGTATATTTTCCTTATCTGATGCAGAAGCAAATCACCATGCAAAACCTGTATGTAAACATGATTGTAGTTTCTATTTTACTACGGATTAAATTGGACTAGGCACATAAAATGTTTTTCTCAACAAGTAACAGATGCAAAGTTAGCATAAGATATATTGGGGGTGGACAAACATATAGTATCATGTCAAATTTTCATGTTCATTTCAACTATGTTTCTTAAGTTGTATCTTGTCAATTGTAAAATTTTAATCTACAATGCATTTGAAATGACAAAAAATGAGTGCCCCATGAATGACTTACATATTTGTCTCGAGCAACATCATTGATCCACTGGCTGTTCTTGTCTTTGTGAAGAGCACCCCAATTGTCAATCATTGATAATGAATCTCCTTTCTATTTAATAATGAAGATACAAACGTGAGAGTGCATAATGAGTATTATAAGTACTTTAGTTTCATTACCTTGTGAGCTATCCTAGCATGTTGAATGAATGGCTTCGCTCCTCCCTTGTGGTGATACTTCAGTTTCTTCCTATTATTACCATTTTGCTTTGAAAGCTCCTACATTACACAAGTGGTACATAACAAGTAAAAGAAGAGTTAGTATTGTAAAGGTGTACAATTTGGGAAGCTCCTACCTCCCAGACTTATACATATTCATATATTTGAGTTTTACATATTTGTTCAAATGCAATAGAATACCACCATCTAACATCTTCTCCAATCAATTAGAATCTAATTTTCATAAACACTATATCCAATGATTTTTGCTCTCGTTCTCTTGTAGACATTCTCAAATTTTACCAACTTGAAATGTAGAACTAAAAGCAATGAATAGCCTAATAAATGCAAACAAGCTTTGCATTCGATTATGCCTAATACCAATAAAATACATGTAAAAGCTTGTGAAGAAGCAGAGCTTATTTATCAGTGAAGAAGCTCTGCATTATATACATGTAAAAGCTTGTGAAGAAGCAAAACTTATTTATCAATAAAATACATGTACAAGCTCTTCATTATATATATATATATATAAGCTCACCAGTGAAGAAGCATAGCTTATTTATCACAAGCCCTGCATTCGATTATTTATCACAAGCTTATATATATTAATACCAACAAATACATGTAAAAGTTAATATATGCTTATATATTAACTTTTAATAAAATAAAATAATTAAAAAAAAGCATTGTGCTATGCTCATTCCATTTATTACAAAATCAACTTGTGATAAAAAAAAATTGTTGTTCAACAATATAAGAAAACGTTGGCATCTAACTTGGACATATATTAGAAAATGATATATATATATAATGCATACCAAAAAGTGGGTAGTAGTGTAAACATTATCACATAGCCAGTTCCAGTGACTCTTAGGTCTTCCATTCCATATCCGATCATTTGGCAGATTAGCTCGTCCTCTTGCAGGTGTTCCACATGACAAGTAGTACTTATACAATAAATGCCTAAACATAGAGTACAACTTCACCATCTTCTTATCAACATATTCAATTATCTTTGGATGAGATAAGTACACCACAAATAATACCTATATTATCAAACATAAATATATAAAAGTGAGTGCTTGAAATTATTATGAATAAACTAAATTAAAATCAAACTCACAAGCAACTTATTCTGCAGTGTCCTCTTTTCTGAAGATGGGACCTTCATCCATTTCTTGTAGTAAACTAGCGAGTGAGTCTGAACAATATTCCCTATCTCGGTAGGGAAAAAACCTGATACTACCAAATCACTTGGAACTTGGAATTTGAAATCAAACATGACTAGCATCTTTTTCCCATTATTTGCCTCCAAAATATCGTGGAGGCCTTTCCCACATGACTTTCCATGTGTCATCTTTTTGGCATTAAAGTTAAAATATGTCTCTAAAAATTAAAAAAGAATATATGTGGTTGATTAATTTTATAACTTGTTTAAAGCAGCATTAAAAGATCAAGTCCTAAATAAAAATGTTGAATGAATTGTAAGTAGTCTTTCTCAAATACCTAAGTTCATGTCTGTTGGCTCTTCTGGTGAAGAAGCAGGTGGTGGAGGAGGTGGTGGTGGCGGAGGTGGCGGAGGAAGTGGTGGTGGTGGAGGTGGGGCATCCCTCACCCTTTTCACCCTCTTTCCTCGTTGAGTAGGAGTTGTCATCTAATAAATTTTAAAAAATAATAATAATAAGTAACAAACGAACATCATAGATAAATCATTATAACCATATAATAATAAACATTTATTTGTATTAGACAATATGGGGTGACTGATGCTACATATGGATATTAGACGATATGGGGTGACTGATGTTGCATATGGAGTATTAGATGATATGAGGTGACTGATGCTGCATATGACTGATGTTACATACTGATATTAGACGATATAGGGTGACTGATGCTGCATATGGAGTATTAGACGATATGGGGTGACTGATGTTGCACGATATGGGTTCCTTGTAACCTTCTACCTCATTATATATCCCCCTTATACATTCAATCTATCTATGAAAAATACATTCAAACAAACTTAAAATTTCCATAATTTGTTATAAATAATATGACTATTAGTATATATATATATATAAGTAAATAGACTATTGGAGAATATAAATATTGATTTATAATGTACAGATCTCACCATAATCATCAATCACTATCTGTATCACAAGTTGCAACCCCTTCCTCCATCTCCTCCTCCTCTTCTTCCTCCTCCTCCTTCTTCTCTTGCTCTTCCTCCTCCTCATCCCCTTCCTCCTCCTTCTCTAGCCCTAACATTTTTCGCACCTCTTTGTCATTAACATCAAAAGATTCAGAATCAACATCATCCTCATTCAGGATTGGTCTCATGAAAATTTCATTTTATCTACATAATCATCATCGTCTTCATCATTATCATGGTCCACACTATCATCATCTTTCTCAGGGACATCCCAAATGTGCTTATGTTGAATCTTCTGCACAACTTTGCAAGGATGGCCCAACTTTAAGTCATCAATGTAAAATACTTGATGTGCTTGTCTAGCTAGCACATATGGATCACGATCGTACCACCGGTTATTTACATTGACTGATGTAAGATGATATTCCTGAATAAATCTTTTTCCCTTGGCATCTATATTGTACCATTGACATTTGAAAAGAATCACCTTATAACCTCTTATAAATTGTACTTTAATGACATTCATTAATCTACCATAGAAGTTACATGGTTCACCATTGTGCGACCCTGGCATCATTACCCCACTATTCTGCGTTGTACGATTTTGATCAACTTGTGTGACCAAATAGCGAATGTCGTTCACAATATAACCTGTGTATTGGACAATACATCAATCCGGACCTTGGACTAACAAAAAAATTTCTTCACTCACCAATCTAGGTTCTTGATAATACAATGACGTGGCCCATTGCCTAAACCATTCAAGAAACAACTGTTTATGTCTCAGTTGTACATTGACATGATTATCTCTTTCCAAAATCTGGATATGCTCACTGCATACATAAAAAAAAAAATATAAGTTAAAGTTGTAGAATTATAAATATTTCAATATATGTAAAACAATTACTATCACATACCTCTTGAAGTCTTCTATTTCTTCACAATTGTCTAAGATATACCAATATGCCACTTCTATTTCTTCCCTGAAAAGTTCAACCAATACATGAGCTCCAAATGGACGTGCTTTTTGTGCAAACATTGAGAGCAACACATTGGGATCACCACCTTCATCGTTTCTTTATGGTTGAGTGAATGGAGTCTCAACATCACACAAATACATTGAGCAAAAAGTTGAGGATATGCAGCATCAGTAGTGCAACATGGCAACAATTCAATAAACATTGACAAATAAAATAAACAAATACAGATGCCATCCCAAGCATGAAAGCAATTCCACAAACACAGACACATAAACACAAGAACAAAAGCTAAAGAAGAAAGTAACCATTCTTCGAACAATGAAACGAGATATTTCAAATTTTTTGCAAGACACAAAAGAAACTAAACAGGTGTTTCCCTGCATTTCTATAAACTGATGATATTTGTGTTTTCACATAATGCTCTTACAGATTCTATAAGTTCTTATTAGACAATATGGGTGATTGATGATGCATACTGATGCTGCATATGGATACTAGACGATATGCAGCATCAGTATGCAACATCAGTCATATGCAGACGATATGGGGTGACTGATGTTGCCAAATTTTATGTTTCCTCTTTCCATAGGATTCTCTATTAAGTCTAATCCCTTAATTTGAGGAAGATTGACATCTAGATGACTTGTTGATAGTTGTGTACTAGCTACTTGCTGCACTCTCTTAATTTAAGGAGTGACAGCTTTAGGGTTTACCGGGTTAGTAGGATTTGCCAAGGTAGGGTTGCTTGTAACCTTTTACCTCATTATATATCCCCTCTTGTACATTCAATCAATCTATGAAAAATACATACTCCACTCCCATCCCTATATTAACTTTAAAAGACAAATGTGTACTAATTAGTCGATAGAAATCATGCTCCATGTGCTAAATGCTCTCATAAATATGATTTTACATTTCAAGAACATATCATCAGACTCTTCCCCAGCAAAAAGTTCATCAACTGGCAATCCCTCTTACTTAAATAGCACTTGAATAAGAAGATTCTGGTCCGTCCCACACTAAGCGAAAAACCTACTCCATAACAATGCAAAAAAAAAAACCTCTATGACAATGCACCTAATATCAAGTAAGGACCTATATATATAGTACTTCTTAAAAATTAAACTTGCGTTATGCTGATATTTCAAAAATTTGTTCATCGTAACTTATAAACATAGATAGAGTATCATTGTCAACTTAACTAAAAGGCAAATCGATTCAAGAACTACTAAATATATGACCCTGTATCGCAGAACTCGCTTTGATTGATTCATCCTTAATACCATATGGCAAAGGCCATCCCAAGCATGAAAGTAATTCCATAAACACAGACACATAAGCACAAGAACAAGAGCTAAATTATCAAATGTAGGAGAAAACAAGAGAGACCCATCTGGGAAAACAATGAATAACATAGACCCATTTAAGCAAAAATTCAAATTTTCGCAGTTGAGACAAATTTACAAGAGAGAAATCAAGAAAAGTGCAGTAATTGACAGAGAGAGATTTGAGTACCTTTTGAGAAGAAATTGGGAGAAAGGACAGCTGAGAAACTAGGTCTTCTTAAATCAAAGAGAGTAGAGTACGAGAGCAAGCATCTGAGGTTTGAGGAAGATGAAAGCGAGATGCAGTCATGGCCACCAACAATCCGTCATTGGCAACATTGAGAGACTAAGAGACGAAGTGGGGTGGAAGTAGAATAGATGAGTTATAATTGGGGCTTTGTTTTATGATTTTTTATTTTATTTTTCCCTCTGCCTTTAGTAAATCAAATGGTGATGAATTGACTTTTCTCACATACCTAGGTCACCTAATCTTAGAGTATGTGAAGAATCCAATCTTTTCGTCACCCAGTGAAAACAATTAAGCGGCAAAATTTGGCGCCTAAAAATTTGTAAGGAATTTAGGCTTGCTATGTGACGAACAACATTCCAAAATTATTTTGTATCCCACAATAGTATGTATGTGAACCTTTTTTAAAATTCCTCACCCATTTATAGGCGTCACATAAAATGTTGTCACTTAATCCATGTTTTCTTGTAGTGTTTATCATGTTTGAAGGCAAAGCATGGTCTAATTGTTCTCCATGATGAATCCAAGTAGTATAGGTCTCTATCATCCCATTTCTTAGTATAAGAATCGAACATTTTCAAATGTCTCCCTTAACATGTTGTCACATATCTTACACGACCGTCAGATTCTAGTTGCACCTAGGT